AGGTGTCAAAAGATAAGTCAAAAAATACATGGAGACAGCTTGGACATAAACAGATGTTCAAGGTAAATGAATGGAAAAATCTTATAAGCATCTGGCACCATACAAGGACAGCCTACTTACATCAGATAAATTAACTTACTGTTAAAAAGGTACTAAAAGACAGGGATGAACAATGAATTAAGATAGTACATCAGAAAAATAAACATCATAACACTGTTTGCAAGGATTTGGAAGAGAAAAGAACACTGTTATCTTATATTCTGTTTTTTTTTTTTTTGTTTTTTTTAAAAGATGTATTTATTTATTTATGCAAGCACTGGTACAGTCAGAAGTATGGGAGGTGAGAGAATTCACCATAGCCAGAGGGGGAATAGAACAGGCAGACTGATGAATTACACTGCTGAGGGGAGCATTGGCATGCAGGAGAGGTCTGTCATTCCATGTGGGACCCTCTCCATGGCCGGGATGGAACAGCACAGCAGAGGCTGAGGGCAGCTTCGCAGCCCAGCGCTCAACCGCTGCACCACCAGGGAAGCCCAAACCCTATTATATTCTTGGTGGGTATGTAATTGTCCAACCCCTATAGAAAACATTATAGAGTTTCCTCAAAATATTAAAAAATAGATCTACCATATTAATCCAGCATTTGTACTCTTAGATATCTACCTGAATAATACAACATTACTAATTTGAAGGGATAGATACACTCTTGTGTTCATTGCAGCACTTTTTAAAATAGCCAAGCCATAGAAAGACGTAAGTACTCACAAAAGAGCAGTGTATAAGAAGATGCCATGTTTATACACAATTGAATACTACTCAGCTATGAAAAATGTTACAATTGCCATTTGCCAACAACATGGATGAAACTAGAGAGTATTATGCTGAGTGACATAAGTTCAAGGAGAAATTCAACTACCAGATGATTTCAGTTATATGTATAATATCAAGAAAAAGAAAAACAAAGTATGTGACAAAACTAAATCCAAACACACCTTAGAACTATACTATAGAATTAAGGCTCCTAGAGTAAGGTAGGATGAAAGTGTGTGCAATGTGGGGAGGTGGTGCAATGTTTAGATCAAAGGACTTATGGTGATTTGATTGTGAATGTTGTGTGGTAACACATATCTAAGGAGGTGAGAATCTATTCCTTAAATCATGTACAGTGTTGGAAAAAATGTTATCTAAATACATCAATCAGTCAATCAGTGCCTTAATTTAATTAAAAACAAATACAGGGAGACAAATTAAAATGAAGACACAAGCTTTCAGAATCTCTTGAGACAGCAAAACAGTAATAAAAGAAGTTTATAGCAAAACTGTCTTAAGAAAAAAAGTCTCAAATTAATAATATAATTTTATACTTTAAATAACAGAATAGAACAAATGAAAATGAAAAGTACTATAAGGAAATAATAAAATGTACCAGAAATAAGTGAAATAAAATAATTAAAAAAAAAAAAACAGTCCAAAAGACCAATGAAACACAAGAGCTGGTTCTTTAAAAAGTCAAACAAGGCAGACAATTTTGTTGCTAGGCTCAATAAAGAAGAGAAGCAACTCTAACAAATATAAATCAGAAATGAAAGAAAAGCTAACTGGCATCTCAGAAATAGAGAAAATGAATAGAGCTTGTATGAGCATCTTAATAAATCAATAAATTGGATAATGTAAGAAAAATGAATTTCTTAACATCACGCAACCTTCTAAAGTTAATCATACAGAATAGAAAATATGAACAGACCATTTTCAAGTAAGGATATTAAATAGTATATAAATAAAGTGCAATCAACAAACAAAGCACAGATAGTTTTCTTTTTTTTTTTAATAATAAATATTTTATATATCCCCCATACAATTGCAAATGCCCCATTCTGACACAATCCTCCCCTCCCCGCCCCCACCCCCCAAAAAGTCTCTGGTTCATGTTTTTTGTTGATTTTGATTTTCACTCTTATAGTTATTCATTTTCTGTCCCTTATTTAAGTTTTCTAGATTCCTGCATGAGTGAGACCCCGGTATTTTTCTTTTTCTTTTTGGCTTATTTTGCTGAGCATGATCCCTTCCAACGCCATCCATGTTGCTGCAAATTGCATGTGTATCTTTTTTGAATGCTGAGTAATATTCCATGTATATATGTACCAAATCTTCTGATCCAGTCATCTATTTGGGCATTTGGGCTGTTTCCAAAGCTTAGCTATTGTAAATAGTGCTGCTATAAACATAGGGTGCAGGTGTTCTTGGAATGGATGTTTTGTTTGGTAAATACCTAGGAGTGGAATTGCTGGATCATATGAAGCTCTATGTTTAGTAGGTCCAGAAATTCCACACAGCTCTCCACAGTGGTTGGACCAGTTTGCACTCCCACCAGCAGGCAGAGAGTTCCTTTCTCTCCACATCCTTGCTAACATTGTTGTTGCTAGTTTTTAAAATATGTGCCATTCTCACTGGTAGTTTTGTAGTTTTGATTTGCATTTCCCTGATTGCAAGTGACGTTGAACATTTTCATATGTTTGGTTGCCATTTGTATTTCCTCTTTGAAGAAGTTTCTTTTTAGCTCTTCTCCATTTTTTGACTGCATTATTTTCTTTGTTTTGTTGAGTCTCATCAGCACAAAATCAGTAGCCTTCCTGTAAACAAACAATAAGTCTGAAGAAGAAGAAATCAAGAAAACCATTCCTTTCGTTATAGAAAAAAAATCAAATGTTTGGGAATAAACCTAACAAAAAGAAGTAAAGATCTATGCAAAGACAAGTATAAAATACTGTTAAGAGAAATAGAAGTAGACACAAAAAAAATGGAAAGGCATCCCCTGCTCAGGGATGGAAGAATTAACACTATCAAAATGGCCATCCTACCAAAAGCAATCTACAGATTGAATGCTATTCCAACACAATTTTCAATGTCATTCTTCAAAGAAATAGAAAAAAATATTGATGAAATTTATATGGAGCCTCCAAAAACCCCGAATAGCCAAAACCCTCCTGAAAAAAAAGAAGGAATGGAGGCATCACTCTCCCAGATTTCCAACTATTCTACAAACCATAATAATCAAACTGCAT